TCTAAACTATACATAGGAACGATGGAATTTCACCCTCTTAATCCCGTTTTGAAATGGGCCCACGCGCTCCATATTCGTCCTTGAGGAGGGCTAGACAATGTAGATGTGATGTTTTTTGTTTTCGCTGATGAGTTCGGTAACCACGGGCATGAACGGTCCGGTGAGCTTGTGTGGATTGGGAATCGATCTGTAATTTCACGCCTAACTACACAAACTACACAAGTGGTAGTAGCGCAGTTTGACATCACCTCCTCCTCAACCTTCAACTGCGGAATTTGTTTAGCTAGTTTATCTTCATTTATTGAAATAGTTACACAGAGTTCCATTGGCCCCGAACTAGATTCAGATTCCGAGATTCCTAGAGTACCGCGGCTGAGGTATGTGTCCCTAAAAAGGCTTCAAGTAGATTACACAGATGGCGAGTTGTGGGCCAAAGTTCGGCCTCGGCTTCTTGTGGGACTTCCGTCGCACAAGAGCCCCAACAGCAATGAATAAAAAAGGAGTACCAAGTCAAAAGGAGTGGTAACAGGAAGCTCTCATGTTCACGACTCAATGCCGATCTTGGCTGACCGCCTCATCGCGTTGTACGTTCCAGTTTGAAAGGGATATAAGGAGAAGGATGAAAAAGCATAGAAATGGCATGACAGCAGGACTTCGCTCATGAGGGGCTGGGCGCTCACGAAGAGCATAAGGGTGTGTCACCCGGCAGCTTCTGTTCTTCTGTATCAGAGCATCCGAATTCGTAAAGGATGCTGAAGGCAGACCAAGTTTAACATCAAAATGAGGAGAGGCCGGTACAGCCGGAATATCCGACTTGTTTCAATAAAAATTTCCTCACATTTTCCGGATTTTAAGAATGGCGAGTTTGCCGGAGCAAAACAGCGATTTGTCTGTTCTGCTCGAATTCAGCTGTCGACCATCCTGTGGACTGCCATGAGTTGTTAGCTGTTATCAGCATAGTTTGTTCACTCCCTACCACAGCCATCCTTCTGGTCTGTATGACTGCTCTTGGCGATTTCTCATTTGGGCACGTTGTCGGGGTAAAGAACAAGGACGATCATCACTTTAGCATGAAGAAAAAATAAGATCTTCAGATTTATCTAACCTTCATTGACGTGTGTCACGTATTCTAAATTGCTGGAGACTCGGAAAATTTGATTTTGGTTGAATTTAACGAATTGAACTGACATGCAACTAATGACCAATCCTGTTCATTGAAAATGTGAGGACAAGTGATGTATAAGATTCATTAAGTAGGATAATATGTTGATCGCATAGTCTTGAATAAAGCTACAATCTTTGAAAAAAAAAACGTGTGCACCGATCTGACTAGTGATGAAGGTAAAACGGCACTTGTGAGCTCAACAAAACGACTACACAAAGAATGTATAGAATACTCGTACAATGAAATGCGAAATATGGTTCGAAATGGAAAAATCGGAGGACATTAAGGACCTTGATTAACTGCTTCACTTTTAGTTGGGAACGTATAAGCTTCTTTTGGTTGTAAAATTTGTCCCTATGTGTAGCTGTTTTACAAGTATAGGGATGAGGGCAGTAAAATTGATAAGCAGATCCCCCGGCAGCCGTCGAAAGCTACCAGTGCTGTCCCAGATCCCCCGGCAGCCGTCGAAAGCTACCAGTGCTGTCCATATTGAATGCATGAAAAGTGAAGTCATTTGTCAATGATGGATGCATAATAAATTGAATCAGATGCGTAATTTGCTTATGCAGGAGCAGTGACTCCTCTTGAGCAATAGCAAGGGTGTGGATCAACCTAACGAAATCCGTGGAACCATATCAGGACTGAATACGCTCATGAAAACAGTCGGTAATGAAGTTTCGGTGTTTTCTCACTGGGACGAGTTTTTGGCCCTGAGGAGGCGACGAGAGGTGCGGTGCTGTCGCTTTGAAAAGTGGCCTAAATAGGACGCCACAAGGTCTTAACAATTGTTCCAAACGCCCAACCCAGTGCTGGCGAAGGTTTTCAGAAGCAGCCTTCTAGTAGCTGCAGTGAGGAGGGAGGGGAACTATACGCTCAAACTCTACGATGCTCAAAAACTCTGCCCCTTTTTTGCACTGCATAGCTTGCTAATTTAGAAAACATCCCGCCAAGTTTTCAACACATCAAGCTAGTCGAGTGATTATTTTATGACGCCCTGTTGAGCACACGATTCACGATACTTCTGGGGTACCTTAAGTGAAATAATGGAGTTATGGTGAAATCCTCGAAAATCGACAGATTTCAAGGAATTGGAGGTTTAAAAAACAGAAGTACTAAAAGGAGCTGCACGAGATTATGTCTCTGTAAGCGTCTGGGTGTCTCCCTCATAAGCGCACTAATCGTCGGCGTCATAGACTTCACTGACAAGGACGTCAAAAACGGCCACTTCCAGCTGTTTACGTCGGCCAGGCCGGTTTTGAAGCCCTTATACGCCCTGCCAAGGTCTCATCGTACTCATCTCCCGTGCTATCCCTGGAAGCCACAGGCTCACCTTGGAGGGAATCTCGAAAAGCACTTTAATCATGAACTGTGCATACAAACACAAAGCTGTATTCGATCCCATCCTTAGTAGTCAGCGTCATGGCGATTGTTAAATGCAAGAAGAAACCGGGGTTTAACTTAGTGCACATATGAGATGCTTCAATCCTGCCTGACCAAATGAATTTCGTGATATTGATCCATCTCGTGGCGTTGGTTGACGTGCCGCGTTCTTGCTGGGTGAAGCGGCCAACGGACACTGTGCAAAAAATGTTGTGGGTAGGGGGAGGTTACTCTACCGACGTGTAAGGAGGGCAGTCGAACTCGAATAAGCACTTCCCCTCCTACACCTTTCCCAACCCTCATACGATTACGAGTGACAAGTGTGGCATTTTTCAACAAAACAGCTTCTATAAGATGATGGGCATGGATTTCCTTATTTAATAACTTACAATTGCGGAAGCATCTCATGGCTACTAAGCTGATGTTGAGGCTTCCCTATAATCAGAAGCGTCTATGTTAAAAAGGTCCTCTAGTTTCCACTGTAAGGTCTCAAATGTAGGCCGTTTTTCAGGTTCAGCACGCCAGCATTGGCACATCAGATCATAGAGCTCCACTGGGCAGGACTGTGGACATGGCATTCGGTAGCCGGCATCAATCTGCTGCAGTACTTCAGCGTTGGTCATACCTGAATGTTAGGGTCCAATCAATGAGGCTATCTTTTCGTTCTTTTTTAATTGTTTACTGCTGTCCTTTACTCCTGAATACATCTTATGATCGTATCTAACTTCTTTGTTTGTCGAAAAAAAGGAATTCACAGTTGCATAGGAAGTAAACAGGTCAAAACTGAAAGGAAAACGAGCTCTGTTTAAAACTGAGCACACTAGTTTTCTTCTCTTATGATGTAACTGACCTGGATAAGGTATCCGACCATAAGTCACGATTTCAGTGAGCAGGATTCCAAAACTCCATACATCTGATTTAGTAGTGAAACGATTGAAATTAGCGGCTTCCGGGGCAGTCCACTGAAATGGGCATAGCTAAGAGGAAGTCATTTTCTTATGGTACAGAATCATTCATTGATTTACAATTGAACACCAAAGAAAACCAGCATTTGTATAATACTTAAGTATGTTATGACAAGTGATATATTTGATATCAGACATATTACTGTATTGTCACCGAAAAAGGTCAATCCCAACGCAGGATCTACTCGGACATGAGCATGTAGCCATATGAAGACCGGCGGGATTATGACTATCCTAGCCCTCTAATAACAACAATGAGCTCTTCAACACAAGCCCAAATCTGGAAGATGACTGTAGGAAATATGTGTAGTCCATGGGCAATATGGGGTTTGGAACCTCGATGCCAAGATTAGATCTTGAATCCGAATCTTCTTCAAAAACATTCGAACTAATCTTTGATAATCACCTCATCACGGAAACAACGATTATTCTCCAACCTCCACTCACCTTAATTGGAAACCGTGCTCCAACTCGTGCCTCGTACTGATTCTCTTTATGAAGCAGTCTCGCAAGGCCAAAATCGGCAATTTTCACATTCAAATGGTTTTTTGTAAGTATATTACGAGCGGCCAAGTCTCGATGAATGAATTTCATCTCCTCCAAGTACGCCATTCCAGCAGCGATCTGCAAATGATGCCATTACGACAGTAAAACTAACGTGCTCTGATCATAGAACTGCCAGACATTAATTTAAGAGGAATTTTTTCAACGATGCTTAAAGGTGTAGGAGGGGAAGTGCTTATTCGAGTTCGACTGCCCTCCTTACACGTCGGTAGAGTAACCTCCCCCTACCCACAACATTTTTTGCATAGTGTCCGTTGGCCGCTTCACCTAGCAAGAACGCGACGCGTCAACCAACGCCACGAGATGGATCAATATCACGAA